GGGTTAGCCTGGTGATGGGTATTAAGGAGGGCACGTACTGCATGGAGCACTGGGTGTTATACGCAAACAGTGAATCGTGGATCACTACATCAAAAACTAATGATGCATTGTATGGTGACTAACATAACATAATAAAATAGAATTAAATTAAAAAGGAAAAGAAATAAAACCTAGAGAAGACGCAGACCCTGAGATGGAGTGCCCCCTACCTTCCAGACCATAACACGGGGCAGAGGAGGAGAAGGTGCCCTGCCCAGACTTGCCCACTGACGAAGTAGTCTGCTGACAAGTGGGATCTGTGGGGAAAGCATGGAGATAGCGTGAATGTTCGGGCAAGACTGTGGGCAGCGCTAACATGCCCGGGCAGAGGAGAGCTGCGGAAAGCACGGCCCCAAAGCTGACCTGACTGGAGCAGGCAAGGGTGGGTGATGTTGTGAGCATCAGCGTCAGGGTTCGTAATAAGAGAAAAACACACCAGCCTCATCCTCCATGTTTTTTTAAAACGCAAAATAATACAAATAGTATTTTCAGCAGTATTCCCGGCTTTGATGGTAAGGTAGGTAATCTTAGTGAGTAATGCTGCTAGAGTGTACTCCTTGAAATACCGCACCAAAACATTTAGAGTGCCTTTTCAGAAAGGAGTGGGCAGATGTGATGACTGAAATAAAGCCTGGAATGGGTTTTGCAAGTAGCTGCTGAAAGTCTCACCTTACATTCCAGGGCCTTATCTACACCTGTTGTAGCAAAAGACACCAACGCTTCCCACCTACGTGGTTCAGGGTAGAGCAGCTTGTTCTCTGAAACTCACCCCATCAGATTTCTTAAGCCTTTCTCGGATCCATCCAGTACATTTCGATTTGCAAAGCTAAAGGACATTTTAATTTTTTTTTTCAATTTCATTTATTTGAGAGGGAGAGAGAGTACAAGCAGGGGGAGGGACTGAGGGAGAGGGAGAAGCAGGCTCCCCGTTGAGCAGGGAGCCTGATGGGGGGCTCGATCCCAGGCCCCTGAGATCATGACCTGAGCTGAAGGCAGATGCTTAACAACTGAGCCCCCCAGGCGCCCTTAAAGGACATTTTAAAAAACTGTATTTGTGGGGCGCCTGGGTGGCTCAGTTGGTTAAGCGACTGCCTTCGGCTCAGGTCATGATCCTGGAGTCCCAGGATCGAGTCCCGCATCAGGCTACCTGCTCAGCAGGGAGTCTGCTTCTCCCTCTCCCGCTCCCCCCTCTCTCTCTCTCACTCTCTCTCTCAAATAAATAAATAAAATCTTTAAAAAAAAAAACTGTTGAACACTACATCAAAAACTAATGATGTACTATATGCAGGCTAACTGAACATAATAAAAAAAATGTATTTTTTCAGAAACGTGGTGTGATATTATGAAGTATAAGTGCAAAATGTGGAGAAAAGAGGAAAAGATTCAATAGGGAGAAGTCAAGACAAGACTTAGAACAAACAGCAAACTGCACTGTAGTAAGAGGAAAATTCTCATCCAGAGTCTGGAACAACATGTGCCTGTTGCAGGCATCACAGACCGCTGGAGAGAAATACCCCGAGGCTGAAGCAGCTCCGTGTCAGGTTAAGGAAGAGCCACAAGGCCCCATCAACCCCAAACTCCTCGACCGCCCTATCCTCTTATTTATGCTGGACACGCTCACAGGATGAGAAGAGAGAGCTGAGTTCTATTTTCAGAAGGCTGCTCTTCAAGTCATCGTAGGCTGAAGATGACTTTGGTGGCCCTTCTATTAGTTGATAGGAGGGACCTTCATCAGTTCCCCATCCTGCCCCTTGTCCTTCCTGACCTTGCTTACCTGTTCCACATGGCAGCATCTGTAAACACCACTCATTAGCTTACTTCTCTCCCCTCGTTCTCCTGGCCCTGAGACAGCCGTGGTTGAAACCCTCAACGTCTCCCCACCCACCACCCCTGCTTTGTCCTCCTGAGCCAGCCCAGGCCTGACCGAGGGGATCAGAAAGCACAAAGTGCTCTCAGACCAGAGTTGGGGTCCTGTGGGCTGTGTGTCCCTGGGCAAGTACCTGTGCCTCCATGTCCTGAGCTGTAAAGTGGGAGTGATGATACTCTCTCACCACCCAGCTGTCACGACAATTAGGGGACAAGGGGGGGGGGGGTCTCCCCCCCATCTGCTACGCACTAAGTGCCCAGCAAAGTACTATTATAATTGTGATCGCTCTTGAGAATAACCCAACTTATGTGATTGGGCATGGAATTGTTTTGCAAGCCAAATAATCATACCGTTTTAGAGTTTCACCTCGTGAGAGGAAGCCTAGAGAAAGCCGGGGTCCTGTGTTCTGTCTAAAAGGTGAATGCGGTGATTTGGATGAAGTGATAACTTGCATGCCAGGCAGCCGCAGTAACCAGAAGCCACTCGTGGTGACCAGCAGCAGTGGAGAGGGCGTTGGGAAGAGGAAATTAGAAGATGACCATTTTAGCCGTCCGTTTTCCAGGGACTTGAAGAAAGTTAGCCGTGTTGTTAGCTGGAAGGGGACCCTGGTTTCTATGCTTCACTGTGCCTTTCTGAGAAAAAAGCGGCCAGTTAGGAAGAATACAGTTATTCCTTGCTGTCTTGAGCCTTTGCTACCAGAACTCAGAAATGGAACGGATTTGGAGACGCTTTATTTAAATCCCTCAATCTGAGCTCTCACTCCTTGCTATTCCAAAATTCAGACACCATATTAATTTGGATAGAGTGGAGGCCCGCACGAACCTCACTCACCTTCTGAGCTGCCTCTGTCTAAGCTCAGGAACTGACTAGATTTGGATGGCAGGGGATACTTGTAACTGATTTTCCTAATAAGAACCTGATCCATCAAAAGAAAGCAGTTAAAATATGTTTCAAAGTTGTCTTTTTAAGATGAGTTGGGTGATTGAGGATGAGTTCCAGAATAAAAATTACAACGTAATGTTTCCTCCAGACAGGATTCCAGGTTGCCAGCAACAGAAGCTGATTACTGATTGAAAAAACTTATAGGATGTCAGCTGGAGGACTCCTGGGGGGACTAGGAGGCTGGGTCCCAAGCTAAGCTTCTAGGAACTGGCAGGTCACCCAGAACTGGTCTAATGAGGAAACCCCAGTGAGCACTGGCTATAGTCTGTCCCACTGTCACCTCTGCAGGGAACTGCCCCGATCACCAGTGCCATCTCCCCCCTACTGTCCATGCTGGTCCAGGCAGAGGGAGAGGGAGAGGTGGAGGGGAGCTCGTCACCCTTAGGTCTGTATCGCCGGCTCCTGAGATCAAGTCTGGCACAGGTGCCACTGAAGAACTAAGCCCCATTTAGGAAGGGAGCTGGGCAGCCAGCTCCCATATCTCCCCGGGAGATGTGGGATTCTGATGTTGGAAATCCTCCAGGAGTATGTAGGTAGGCTGTTCCACAGGGTCGGGCAGCCCCGAATAGGTCCAGTGCCCACGAGAGCACTGTTCAGTATTTGTGAACTGTAACCCTTCCGTTGATGGTGAGTCGGTTTAGTAGATCAAGGTCTGGCTGGCTTGCTTGCTTGCTTCTACTTTTTTTTTTTTTTTTAAAGAGATAAACAAGAAGAGAAAGTATTGGTGGGTCACTTGTAGTCAGAGTAAGTTTCGTCCTGTGAAGCCTGTTTTCATGGTGCAGAAGCTGCGTCTGTGTGTCTGGTCGGGGTTGCCATGTCAGAGGTGTTTTGTTACCACAGTTCATGATCAAAAGCTACTGCACTAGCACATTCCAGTGCTCAAAGGATTTATTTTCAGTTTCATACCCCACTTCACGTGTTCTCAAAGCAGTGTTTCTCCTGTTTAATTCCCAGAGCGCTCGCGGTCTCTCTCTCTCTCTCACTCGCGCGCGCGCACACACACACACACACTCACACTCTCTGTAGCTGGGCTGGGAGATTTCACTTGTTAAACCTCAGTATGTTTGAAGAACTCTTTCAGGCTGGCTGGACTGGTAACCGTTCACTGTTGTAACATTGTTTCCCTGGGAAATTACGGTCTGAGTTCTAAAGACAAAGCTTTGAAAACAAACGTCTGCTGTGGAAACTGGTACCTCTTACGCTTGTGGTGACAGTTGCTACAATGCGAATAAAATATTTTAATCTAGACTGGACCTCAAAAAAAATTTGTAGAAAAAAAATTTGACAGTAGAGAGCTTTTTTTTAAAATCGCTATAGCGGTCAGCACTTTGCTTTTAGTTTTTGTTTGAAACCCGTTTGTTCTAACCTTACATTTTCCCTCCGCAGGCCCATTTACTCGACCTCATCCGGCCTTATGGAGAATGGTTTTTGGTGAGTTACCCATTAGTAGATTTAGAAATATATTTTACTTAAAATCCATTTTCTGTATATCAGTAGAGCAGTTTTACAGTAAAACTTCATAGCCTTTTACTTTTTGGAATTGGCTACAATTCCATGCCCAATTCCATACTTCACTTCCGTGAAAGAATGCTTCACGGAAACGTGCTTGTGCAAAGTAGGATCTGGCAAGGATTGGGGTCACTGGAAGCCAGGCAAAGGGAAAGTCTACTAAAATGGTCTCCAGCCAGAAGGAGCACAGTGTGTTGCAGGTCAGTGTGGCATAAAATGTAATGTTATGAAAAGGACCCTAAAAATGGATATTTTGTGCAAGTTCGCCTGTTTTTCTTTCAACCTTTAGAGATCACAGGTGAATCCCTTTGAATGGAGTGACATCCTTCCTTCAGCAGTAAACATAGTAATAAAATAATTTATAATAAAAATTAATAAAATAAATAATAAATAAAAGTAAATAATAATTAAAAATAAAATATAATAAGATAATAAAATAATTATGTTATTCCTAATATAAATTTTTATGAAAATTCTTTGACACAAAACAAACATATTGGTGATAACTTCAGATTCTCATACAGGTGAACTGTTCCAACTCCACTCGCCCCCTGCTGTTGTCTCTTAATGTACATGGGGTCTGACATAAGGGGATGTGCTTGTTTTTCTTGATGCATCTTGATGTTGCCCTTCACGGGTGCTGTGGGCACTGTCTTGTCAGCGTCCAGAAGGGCCCGAAAACCTGGCAGTCTCCTGAGTGTTGTGAATGGGAAAGATCCTGGAAAGGGCGAAGTCTTTAGACAGAGAGCCCTAATTTGAAATAAGGGTCAGTGATAAGCATCTCTATAAATATTGGATGTCTTGTTATTCCTTGATTTCGAGTCCACAAATACTCAAATCCCCTGAATGGACTTAAAACACATCTTTCAAATGTCGGCTCTTGGCTTTGTCCTGCCTAAAAAAGACATCAAGTAAGTTATTTTAGGTTCAGAAAATGTAATGTTATGAAAAGAACCCTAAAAATGGATATTTTGCTTAAGGTCGCCTGTTTTTCTTTCAACCTTCAGAGATCACAGGTGAATCCCTTTGAATGGAGTGACGTCCTTCCTTTAGCAGGTGTTCACTGAGCGCCCGTGTGTGGAGGTCTGCGCCCTGAGGCTGCAGGGGAGGGCCAGACAGACAGGAGGCTTCCCCCAGGAGGGAGGACAGCTATCGCAAACAAACTACTAAACAAATCAATAATCAAAAAGTATCCCATGCCGCCAAGTGTTCAGAAATTAATTAAAACCATGCGGCCTGATGGTGACCGAGTAACTGCTTTCACATGCATGCGCAAGGAAGAATGCTTCACGGAAATGTGCTTGTGCAAAGTAGGATCTGGCAAGGATTGGGGTCACTGGAAGCCAGGCAAGGGGAAAGGCTACTAAAATGGTCTCCAGCCAGAAAGAGCGTGGTGTGTTGCAGGCCATTGTGGTGGAGCAGAGCAGGCCCTAGGGGAGTAGTAAGAGAGAGGCCAGAGTCGGGCAGGGACAGAGCCCCACTGGGCGTGTGGGCCAGTAAGGAGGGCAGACAGGAAGGACAGTGGGAAGTCCCGGGAGGATTTTTCGCAGAAGTGACGTGATTCATTTCCATTTTTAAGTAGATTGTCCTGGTTGCATCATACTTATATCTCATGGACTTAATGTTGCTGCTTGAAATTATGATTTATTTTCAGCTGGTTGGCTACATTTGAGTTTTTCCTATTTCAAATGATCCATTATAGGTAATGATAATTATAATCTTACCTGAGCTCTTTTTGGGATCATGGAGCCCTTTGATAATCTGATGAGAACTAATCCTTTCTCAGTGTGCACGCATGCACGCACACACACACATTTGTGCATTTTACATCTGGGGCTTCATGGACTTTGAAGCTCAACCATGAATTCCAGTTTAAGAAGCCCTGATCCACACAGATGGTTTCTTTCTGTCTTAAAATAATTATTTTGAAAAGATTATAATAAAAAAAGTGTAGTGTGGGGCATTTGAGATGAAAATTTATAAAAGCGGCTGGTAATAAACGTGCGGAGGTCCTTATACTAACGTGTGTGCCCTTGGGGCCCTGGGGTGCACAACCAGGTCAGCCATGCTGTGCTCAGGTCCCCTGAGCTCCCTGAGGACAGGGAGAGGCGCTTTTGGAAGGCTTGGCACTGTAGATGTTCAGGGGATTTCAGTCCAGCCATGGACGCTGTCTCCTCTGGAGCAGCTCGTGGGAGATTAGCGCGGAGCCAAGTTCACACGGAGTGCTGTGATTCAAGGTCATTTGTATGACAGTGTCTAAGTGTCCTACACAGATGTTTTAATTCTAGCAGGTCTGAGAGAAAGAGAAGTGATAGAGCCGCTGGTGGCTGGTTTCCAAATCTTTCCAAAAGGCTTTTGCTGTTTTAAAAGCAGACAATTAACTTTATTTTTAAACGACGTGGGGTGATTATTAGGATACTGATTCTGCTATGATGCGACAGGAACGTAATGCCCACAAGGGCTGACAAGGTGTGGATGTGTAGCCCTGGGCCACCTCTCGGCCCTTCACACCTGTCTCTGCTGATGTTGCCCCCTGACTGGGCTGTCCATACCCGGCTTGCCCACCTCCCTCCACTCTCCACACAGCAGCCGGAGCCCACTTTGTAAAGCATTACCCAGATCATCTTATTTCCCCACTTAAAGCCTGTCACGTGCTCCTTGTTTGACTTATGGTAAAATCTGAGATCTTTGCCGTGGCCCCCAAGCCCTTTCACCTCAGGGCTACCATGCTCCCTTCCTCTTTCTGCTTCTGATGTCACGGGCTTACCTGGATGCCTTTTCTCTACCTGAATGTTGGCCGGTCCTTCAAGACTCAACTCGAGCATCATTTTCTCAGAGAGTATTACCAACCCTCTCAGTGTGAATTGGGACAGTGTATCAGACTCACTCATCAAAGGAAATGCCAGACTGTAACGGGGATCTCGACACACTACACTGCAATATCCATGTCTGACTTGAGTCTCACGTGTGTTGTGTGCCTGACCCCCAGATCTCTCCTAAAAGTGGGGATGTTTTGTTTCCCTCAGGACTCAGTGTGCTCTACTTCCTTTTCCTGGTATTCCTCCTCTTCCTGAACTTTGATCAGGTTAAATCGCTGATGTACTGGCTGGATCCAAATCTTCGATACGCCACAAGGGAAGCAGACATCATGGTATGTATTTGTCCGTGGTCTCGCAGAGAAATCGGTAGATTCTTGGGTATAAGAGATAGTCGGCTTCACTAAAGTGAAGTTGTTTTTTTTTTAAAGATTTTATTTATTTATTTGATGAGAGAGAGAGCACAAGCAGGGGGAGTGGCAGGCAGAGGCAGAGAGAGAAGCAGGCTTCCCACTGAGCAGGGAGCCCGATGCGGGGCTCAATCCCAGGACCCTGGGATCATGACCTGAGCCGAAGGCAGTCGCCTAACCAACTGAGCCACCCAGGCGCCCTAAAGTGAAGTTCTAAATTGTTACTTCTGCATATTTCCCGTGTAGATAATGTAAAAGCCGGGTCTCTGGGAAGGTGAGGTGTGTGGTTTCCCTGAGTGATAGGGTCCAGGGAAATGATATCCCCTCTTGGAGCAAAGGGGGATGGTGGGAAGAGGGTGACTGTTATTGTCAGACAGCCTTAGGTGTGAATTCTGCCTCTGTCACTTGTTAGCTGTAAGACCTTGGGCAGTGTACTTGTTGGCTAGCCTCTTCCTTTCTTTGTAAAGTGAAATCATAGTACTTATTGGGGGAGTTTTATTGTGAACTAAACAAAGTAACCTTATCTCTGAGGCCTAGCCTGGCACCTTGCACACGGCATGTCCTCAGTGATGGCGGTGGCTGCTGCTCTAGCAGTGTGGCCCTCAACACTCTGCTCCCCACTCTGGCCCCAAAGCCGTGACCCTTCGCCATGAAGGGGCCGGTGTGAATGATCCAGGCCATTTTGTTCATTATTTTTCTTAACCCACAAAAATAATTTTATTCTTGGGTAAAGCTTCTCTGAACTTCGTTTTTAGGGAAGAGACTATTTTATACTCTAATGCTCTTTCTTTCCTTTTTAATTTTGTTTTTTTTTTTTTTTAATACCTAACATTTGGTACAGACTGAAGGAAAAACCTAGTAATGTTGAGAAAAGGAGAACAGGCATCTGGGCCATTGGCAGGGCCTTGTTTAAGAAACAATACAAAGGGGCGCCTGGGTGGCTCAGTCAGTTGAGCGTCTGCCTTCAGCTCAGGTCATGATCCGGGGTCCTGGGATCAAGCCGGGCATTGGGCTCCTTGCTTGGTGGGAAGTCTTCTCTCTCTCTCTCTCTCTCTCTCTCTGACCCTCCCCCTGCTCATGTTCTCTCTCTCAAAATAAATAAATCTTAAAAAAAAAAAAAAGAAACAATACAAAGGGACTTAATGAAAGGTCCAAGAAGTGATCGTTCTGCTGGAGTTGAGATTGGTCAGACCCTTCTTGAATGGTGTTTCAACATTTTATCTTTAACTTTATAAAGGACATGCTAAAGGCAGAAATAAGAGTGCCAAAAATTATTTAAAAGTCTCAGGAAGAAAAGTCTGTCCAGGGGTTTCTTATTTTAAGGAACAGAGTGGCGTGGGGTGACTTGGAGCTTCTACTGATGATGGTAATGATAGTGATGGGTATGGTGAGGGTGGTGGCAGTTACCAACTGTGGGTTGTCTGTTCTACCAGCACTTACATATATTCTATGTAAGCCTCACACATGCATGCTAGGCATTAATATCCCCCATTTTATCAAGGAGGAAATGGAAATTTAAAATGGATAAATATCTCATTCAAAGCACAAAGCTGGTGAGATCCCTCTGATTTCAGGACCTATCCTTTTCCTTTGGACTGTGTCATAAGTACATAGTTAGAGTAATGACAGTGCTTTAACACTCACAGGAGACTTATGAAACAGAGATTGGGAGAAGGGTATTCCAGGTATATGATATTTTCCTCCACCATTTTCTTGGGTTTTTGAGCAAAGGGGATTATATCACAAAGTAAACTGACCGAGCCCGGTGAATAGGACTTGGTATTTGGTTAAGTGTTGGGCAAGCGAGGAAGAGGGTGGAGCCACCAAGATCAGCCCTGCGACCAGTTAGGGAGGTGGGTGCAATTTGTCTTTACCTACTGTCCCCTCATGTGCTCACATCTTCCCCTCCTTGCCCCCCCTGGCTCGGGATTCCCTCATTTAATGCCCCTTCCCCCTGCTGCCCAGAATTGTGCCTGCACTCGGCTCCCTAGCGGCATTAAACTGCAGGGTCCGTCTTCCTCCCACGACCAGGACCTCAGAGATCTTCCTGATGTGATCATTGGCAAATCTGTGCATTAATAATTATAATGCTAAGAGTTATGTTTGGCTTTTGTGACTTTCAAAGTGCCTTTGCATGTGTTGAAGCCCAGAAATATTCTCACGGAGAGTAGAAGGGCCCCCAAAGTCATCTTCAGCCTACAATGACTTGAAGAGCAGCCTTCTGAAAACAGGACTCAGCTCTCTCTTCTCACCCTGTGCAGCGTGTCCAGCGTAAATAAGAGGATAGGGTGGTCGAGGAATTTGGGTTGACGGGGCCTTTTGGCTCTTCCTTAAGCTGACATGGAGCTGCTTCAGCCTCGGGGTATTTCTCTCCATTGGTCTGTGATGCCTGCGACAGGCACATGTTGTTCCAGACTCTGGATGAGAATTTTCCTCTTACTACAGTGCAGTTTGCTGTTTGTTCTAAGTCTTGTCTTGACTTCTCCCTATTGAATCGTTTCCTCTTTTTTCCACGTTTCCTGTTTACACGTCGTAATATCATATCCTAATGCTTCTGAAAAAATAGTTTTTTAAAATGTCCTTTCAGCTTTGCAAATCGAAATGTACCAGATGGATCTGAGAAAGGCTTCAGAAATCTGATGGTGGTGGGTTTTGGAAGAGGGAGGAGGACCACATTGCTCTTTTGCTCCCTTAGGAGGCATTTCTAGAATTTAAAAATATTAATACTTTACAGGAATACTTTCAACTGGCTGATAATAGGTGGCTGTTTTCCAAATCTTACTCCATCCTATCAGATTAATTTTGGGAAGGAAGAATGTCAAATGTAGAGGTTCAAGAAATGTTGTATTGTCATACGATAATTACTTTCTTAATAAATATAGAAATATAAGGATGTTGATTTAAAATTTCTTTAAAATATGTCGTATTAAAAACAAAAAGATATTAGAAACAAAACCAAAAGTCTTAAAAGCTTTGTCATTTTTATTATTTATTTGTTTTTAAAAGATTTTATTTATTTGAAAGAGAGAGAGCATGCATACAAGCAGGGAGAGCGACAGGCAGAGGGAGCAGCACGCTCCCCACTGAGCAGGGAGCCCGATGCAGGACTCGAACCCAGGACCCTGGGATCACGACCTGAGCCGAAGGCAGACGCTTAACCGACTGAGCCACCCAGGCGCCCAGCTTTGTCATTTTAAATATTTAAATTATGTAGCATGTGATAACATTTGGGGATGGGAGGTTTATTCTAGTTCCTTCTAATTTCTGAAATTGGATGCTTTAGCTTTTCCTCTTTTCTGACAAATATTTAAGGCTTTACGGTTTTCGTCTGAGTTCTACTTAGCTTCATCCCATCGTTCTGATATATAGTATTTCATTACCATTTAATACTGACTATATTTTACATTTCTATTCTGATTCTTTCTCTACACCATGATATTTCCAAACCTATTGGGATTGTACTTATTCTTTATTAATTGGGATTCTATTTATGTTCTTATCACTGGCTTTACCATAGTTGCCCTACAGTCAGGTGACGTGGGCTGTGTGATTCTACTTCTTTAAGACAGGTTAGTAAGCCTTTGTAAAATTACTTTGCTTCCCATTTTAATCAAACTTCTGCAATTCAGAGCAAAGCAATTCTGATTCATAAACTTTAATATTTGTCCATTTTTCCTAAAGGACGTTCAATTATTAAAGCTTTTGGGGGGTGGGGGGGTAGGACAGGTATTAGTTGTCAAGGTCATATCAGTTCTTTTCATTTATTGTCAGGATCCTGGAAGGAAGTTGATTTTGAGAGTATCCATTAATTATTTCCCTTTTTATTTTGAATAGGAGTACGCTGTCAACTGTCACGTTATCACCTGGGAGAGGATTATCAGCCATTTTGATATATTTGCGTTTGGACATTTCTGGGGCTGGGCCATGAAGGCCTTGTTGATCCGTAGTTATGGTCTCTGCTGGACAATCAGTATTACCTGGGAGCTAACTGAGGTAAGAAGGGGCTGTGATCAGTTAGTTTACATGTAGGAGGAAGGTAGTCTGTCCATTAACAGGCAGTTAATCCATTCTCCAGCCTCTGTGGCACAAACTGTGTTTAAACCACCCCCTGGGAATATTTTATGCCTTTGGTGGGGGGTGGGGTGCAAATTCCTTATTAACTTAAAACATGTCTCTTGTCTCATAAGTCTTAAAGAGAAACAAATGAAATGAAGCAAAAAGAATGAAGTTAAAATCCCCAGTGAGACAAATACATGATAATGAGATCTGCTTAGAAGTAAGTAAGTAGGTTTCCCACCATCTGGTTTCCAGTTTGAGATAAATAGAATTATGGTGTTTAGGGATTACAAGAGCATCCAGGATATTTTGTAGCTGAAAAATGGATTCCTGATATAGCTCTAATATCACAGTAGTCAGGTTTATCTCATTTAATGAATGAAAGAGATAGTCTTTTTTTTTTTTTTAAGATTTTATTTTTTTATTTGACAGAGAGAGAGAGAGCACAAGTAGGCAGAGCGGCAGGGAGAGGGAGAGGGAGAAGCAGGCTCCAGGCTGAGCAGGGAGCCCGATGTGGGACTCGATCCCAGGACCCTGGGATCGTAACCTGAGTCAAAGGCAGATGTTTAACTGACTGAGCCACCCAGGTGCTCCTGAAAGAGATATAGTCTTGAAAAACTTTTAGGAAAATGAAATTTGGGGGTCTTACTCATTTATCATTCAGTTATGATATTATTCTTAGTTAATCACTCCCAGGGAACAAAATTTGGCCATGTGTACAGTATATTTCTTGATGCCAACTGTTGTCTTGACCCTAACTTAGGGAAGCATGCCAGCCACATCTAGCTTCTGTTAATGTGCCTCTTATAGCCCTGGAGGCTAGAAGTCTGAGTTCAAGGTGTTGGCAGGATTGGTGTCCTTTGAGGCCTGTGAAGGAGAATCTGGTGCACGCCTCTCAGCTTCTTATGACTTGCTGGCCATCTTTGGCATTTCTTGGCTTGTAGATGCATCACCCCAGTCTCTGCCTTCGCCTTTGAGTGGGGTTTTCCCTGTGTGCATTCACATGGCGTTCTTTTTGTAAGGACGCCAGTCACACTGGATTAGAGGCCCACCCTATTCCGGGATGACCTCATTTACTAATGACATCTGCAGCAACTCTCTTCCCAAATTGAGTTCACATCATGAGGACCTGGAGGTTAGGGGTTCAACATGTGGCTTTTGAGGGGACACAATTCAACCCACAACAGTACCCAACACTGTACATGCATTATCCTAAATCCTCACCATAAACCGAAAAGGCTGAGTATATCCCCAGTCGACAGAGGAAGGAACCAGAGCCTTGCTTCATGAGGTGAGCCAGGATGGGACTCCAGCTGTGCTTGGTTCCAGGTGTGCAGCCCACGTTCCTGCTCTCCCACCATGTTCCTCTCGGAATTCCAGGCATCTTCCTAACCTCGCTGCTGTGGGACCCTGGGCCAGGCTCTGGGCCTTTCTCGGCCTGTCTGCTTCTCTCCCCTCATACTACAGATGGCCCCGTGCCTTCCTTCCCTGCTCCTCAGTGGCCTCTCAACTCTCGTAAGCAGTGCTGCTCCATCCAAATCTTCCACGCCACTGCTCAACGTGTATCTAACCTCTGTCCTCTCCTGGCTGAACCACTCACCTCCTCCCTTCACCGTCTCTTCCCAAAGCGATCTTTTTCACCTCTCGATCTGGTTACAACCTTCTTCAACTGAAACCCTTTAGTGTTTATCCAAAATCCAAACTTCTGGACCAGCCTGCGAGGCCCAATACTGACCGGCCTTGGCCCACCTCCCCCGTCTGCTCGGGACCCTTCCCATCCTGTGGTCTGTGCTCCAGCCATCTTTGCTTTCTTCGTGTTAAAGATTCTGTGTCTTTTCCTATCCCAGAGCCCACTTGCAGGCTCTTCCCTCCTTTCCCTGCTCCCTGCGCTGGTTGTGCTCCACGTTTGTACACCTGGAAATGGAGCACCTGGCCCTTCTCCTTTGAAATGCTCGTCACATTTTAGATGCTCAGAGTGTCTCTTTGCTGCCAAGTGTCAGGCCTTGAGAGGGCAGGGCCCGTATCCACATCGTCCCGGATACTGCGCCTCACAAGTGGCAGGTGCTCCCCAGGTTCCTGGAGAGTGAGTGAATCCAACCCTCTGCAGCGTCTCCCACTCAGGTCTGGACAGACCAGAGGGCCAGAGCCCAGAACCTTGCTTCATTAGGTGAGCCAGGATGTGCTCCGCTCTGGATGGGCAGCCCACGTTCCTGCTGTTTTACCGTGTCCTGTCCCTGAGTTCCAGGCATTCATCTGGACGGCGCGCCTTACCCCCAGTATCTGGTGCTTTCCAGGAAAGCTCTTGAGGCCGAAGCCGTCCTCCACATCCCGCTCCCCTTGCATAGTCTCATGTCAGCAAATGTGTGTCATCGACTTCTGTTGATGAGTCCCTCTTCCCTGTGTAAAGCAACAGTCAGTGCTCTGTGCCATGGCTGGGAACCTGGGACTACACTTCAGGGGCTGGGCCTGGCTCGCCTCGGAGAGGAACGCAGCCCCGCCGCCTTCGTGCCAAGCCGCTGCGCTCTGTCTTATCCCTGGCCGGCACACCAAGCAGGCAGACTCCTCAGATGTTTACATTGCTTTCCCTCTCTGAAATGCTTTCATGAACAGTTTTATTTCGCAGTATTGATCATATGACTTCAGAAGTTGCCTCTTTCCAGAGAATTCCCAGGCACGGTCTTTGTCATGTCAGACCTTCTTACAATGGGCCTTCACACAGCAGGGCATGCTGCTCTGGACATGGCTGATCCGCTCTTTGTTTTGGACAAAGCTATTTCCATAGGAGATTTCTATCCCCTACCCCCTCCCTTCATCCTGCTGTTCCCCCTTTCTGGAATGTCCTCAGTCTTCATCTCCCATCTCCTGAAAACAGTCATTCCTGTCCTTAACGGTCCCAGTCCAGTATGTCGTGCTCCAGTTGCTATCTGTCAGAATCAATCTCCCTTTTATCCCCACCATGCTCTGTTTATGTCGCCATGGAAACATTTGCCACAGCCTACCTTATTTTGTGGTTCTAGATAAACTCCTGCCCTTGAGATCAAGAAACTTGACTTTATTTTGCTTCACCACTTGTGCATCATTAGCACTATTAATAAGATTACGATTGCGAATCAGTTATCGAAAGGCTTTCTGTTAAGCTATGGGTTTCCTAAAACATGCCATCAAAACCTAACCTTTCTACTTTTTCAGTTTCCTCGCTGTTTTACCTAAATATCTATGGAATATTTCTAAAATGCACAGCTTGAACTGTCAAGCTGCTAATGTTGAGGACTATGCCAGCGCTCTGTTGGTGGGTATGAAGACTTTTCTCCTCCCCCCCTCCTAGATCCTTGTCTCGTTGTCCTTAGCCAAGGTCATTCATCAGTGGTATTTTTTCAGGAGCAGTTATTATTTCTTTAAAACCCTATGTAAAAAAAAAAAAAAAAAAAAAGAACTGTTTGGATTGATAATATTTGTAAACCGTCCACGGCATAAAACGCAAACCTAATCACAGACATTGTTTTTATTTATTCGGTTCATACATTAGGAAAACCTGACACATCAACAGCTCTTCCTAACGGAATATGTTCATCAAAGGAACTCTATCGTTCTGCAGTTTTGTTTTTAAAACCATGGTCTCTTGTGTTTCTCAGCTTTTCTTCATGCACCTGCTGCCCAATTTCGCCGAGTGCTGGTGGGATCAGGTCATCCTGGACATCCTGCTGTGCAATGGCGGCGGCATCTGG